GGGGTAATCGGGATGGGGTTGGCGCAGGATAGAGCAGGGTTTAGGGCTGTTGTGCATAGGGTCGCTATGAGTCGGAAACGACTCGAAGGCACATAACAACAACAACAACAATTGGTTTGCATACAATAATTCATTTACATGATGTTTCCTTCATGTACATTGTGTTTTATACAATCTTTCACTTACATTGTGCTTCACACATTGTCATACATTCATACAATTCAATCATTGTCTTTTCCCCCCTAGTATTTTATATAATTCCTATTATCTATGCCTATTATTACCCCATTTTGAGTCCCCACCAAATTTTTCCTATTACTTCACCCTCCCCCCATCTCAAATCAAAGTATCTGACTCTGAAGCGCATGCATTTTACCATTCATTCACTCACTCATTTTATTCAGAAAATATTTACTATCCTAAACCTTGGGTTTAGAGTTTATCAATGTACAAACTACTACAGGGGCTAGAAGAGACTGTTTCAACTTAGATATTAAAATCAGACTTAATAATATACATGAAGCAAGAATAAGTTTCTATTGTTGTATAAAGCCTAAAGAGTATGTGTGTATACATGATAAATTTAAAAATAAATCTTAAAAACTTACTCTCCTTTAAAAAAAAAACAAAAAACTTACTCTCCTATTGTTGTTAAGTGATATCAAGTACAACTCTTAGTGACCCTGTAAATGACATAATCTGAACAAAGTCCTATCCTGTACCTTTCTCACAATCTTTGGTATACTCAAGCCCATTGCTGTAGTCAATGTGCTACAGTCACTGGTTGAAGGTCTTCCTTTCCTTCGTCATGCATGATGCATGATGTCCCTCTCCAAGAAAAAGCCTCTCCTACCAACATGCCCAAAGTATGCGAGAAGAAGTTTTATTATCATTACCAAAATGTCACTGTATGTCTGTCCTAATCATGACATTTTAATTTCATTTCACAGTTGTTTTAAGAGACTAATAAGAAAACACAGGTCTCTAGTAATATTAAGAAAACAAAAGCACATTGGAATGTTGTTGTTATGTGCTGTTTAGTTAGAACCAAAATATAGTAGGTTTTCAAAGGCTGTGAATTAGGACCAACCTTTTTTGTCCCTGAGAGCAGAGAGTGGGTACCTGCCTGGTTTTGAGATGGTAACACAACTCTTTATCCAGTAGGCTACTTATGGTTTTATTATTAGATGGTGAAGAGATTGAGATTGTTGACAGCTTTAGTTTGCTTGGCTCTACAATCAACACTCTGTATCAGCAGCCAGGAAAATTAAAAGATGAATTGCACTGGGAAAGTCTGCTGTCAGAGACCTCTCCAAGTTATTGAGGAGCAACGATATCAGTCTGGAGATAAAGGTGCGCCTGATACAGGCTATGGTCTTTGCCATTACTTGCTATGCTTCAGAGAGCTGGACAATGACTAGGGATGACAGAAGGAGAGTTGATCCCTTCGAACTTTGGTGCTAGGTGAACAAACAAGCTTGTCCTGGAGAGTGTGAAACCAGGCTGCTTCTTGGAGGCAAGTATTCTGAAGCTCTGTTTGACATACTGTGGACATGTTGCAAGGAGGGACCAGTTCTTGAAGAGGGCTTGAGAGGGTGGAGGGACAGTGCAGGAGAGAATGACCCTCGATGAGATGGAGTCTTTCCGTCACTGGAGTAATGGGGATAGGCGTGTCAGAGACAGTGAGATTGGCAAGGGATAGAACAGGGTTTAGGGCTGTTGTAGAGTCGCTATGAGTTGCAAGCAACTCTACGGCACATAACACCACCACTACCACCATATAAAAATAGTATAAAATATGTATCAAAGAGTAACGACATATTATTATTAGTGACCTAGCGGCAAGAAGCTACAATCTCAAAGGCATGCAGTTTGAATCCACCAGATGTTCTGTGGAAGAAGAATGGACAATCTCCTCTTGTGCAATTTATAGCCTCTGAAAACCCATGGGAGGGTCAATTATGGGTCATTTCTGACTTGAATAACACAATAATAACAACCAGGATAAGAAACCATAATTGTCTTCTAGGTACCCTACTTAATTCAGTTGTTCCTCCTCCCTAATCTTTCATTATCAATCTTATCAAACTCCAGATAATTTTTACACACTATTTTACCTTCTCCCAATTTATTTGCATCTTGTATTTTACATAAATAAAACCACAATGTTCTTCTATTATTTGCTCCTTTACTAGCTTGCTTTCATCCACAATGACACGTACAGCTGTAAGTCATTCATTCTGAGTACCCCATGTTCTCACTCTATGACTATATCCACATTTTGTCTGGCCCACTATTTACATACATTAGGATTATTACTAGATACTGCCATTCAAAAATAAATAAAAAACACTGCTTGTAGAAGAAAGAGAACCCAGATAAGCAAAGCACTTCTGAAAAACAAAAACGACGTAGGAGGCATAGCACTTCCTAACCTCAAAGCCTACTATACAGCAGTAGTAACCATAACAGCATGGAACTGGGACAATGATAGGCACAAAGATCAATGGAACCCAGAAGTAGACCCCACTATCTGTGGTCAACTGACATTTAACAAGGAAATATAACCTATCAAATGGGAAAATGACAACCTCTTCAATAAATGGCGCTGGCAAAACTGGACTGCTACATGTAGAAAGCTGAAACAGGATTCACATCTCACATCATACACAAAAATCAACTAACTCAAGGTAGATCAGAGACCTGAGAGTAAAGCCCAAAATCATAAAGTACATCAGAGACAAACTGGGATCAAGCTTAGATGGCCTAGTCTATAGTACAAAAAGAATGCCAAATACAGGTAAAAATGCACACTCTGGAGAGGATAAAATCGAATGGGTCCTTCTAAAGATTAAATCCCTGTGTGCATCAAAAACATTTTCCAACAGAGTGAAAAGAATACCTACTGACTGGGAAAAAACATTTGGCAATACTATTTCAGACATATAAAAAGTGTATAAAGTCCTACAGGGCCTCTACAAGGAAAGGACTGATAAGACAATTATAAAATAGGCAAAAGACATGGAAAGTCTTTTCACAGGGGAAGATATTCAGATGGCCCAAACACGAACAAAAAAATGCTCAAAATCACTAGCTATAAGAAAGATGTAAATCAAAACCACAATGTAATACCATCTCACTCTAGTAGCAGTGGCAAAGTTAACAGAAGTAATAAATGTTGGAGAGCATGTGGAAAGATAGGAACTCTTCTTATACACTGTTGGTAGGATTGTAAAATGGTATAACCACTCTGGAAGGTAGACTGGCACTTCCTCAGAAAGCTGAACACAGAAATTCCGTATGATCCAGCACTGCTTGGATTATACTCCAAGAAAATGGGAACTGAGGTGCAGAGACTTGTACACCAATATTCACAGTAGCTTTATTCACCATTACAAGAACATGGAAACAGCCCAAAATGTCTAACCACAATCAATGCATAGAGATATTATGATACATTCACACAATGGAATACTACACAGCATGCTGGAGCAATGATTTTATAAATTACTACCTAACTTGGGAAGTACTAGAGAAAATTATGCTAAGTGAACTAACTCAGTCCCATAAGGACAAATACTGTATATGACCATTACTGTAGAACATGTTTGAGAATCCCAGGTGGGGATGGGTGGGGTCCAGAGTAGTAATTAATCATAGGGTTGCAGGATCTGACAGGTGAAGGGAGGGGTGGATAAAGGAAATGGGAGAGATTAAGTGTGAAAAACAATATACACAAACTTTACAAATAAATCAGAATAAAATAAAAATTTTATTTAAATAAATTAAAAAACAAAACAAAAAACAACACTGATTATGAACAAATGTGCAACAAATTTCCTAGGGCAGTAGTTCTCCCAACTATTTTGTCTCGGGAACTTTATTGGAAGACCCAAAGATCTTTGTTTTATATGGGTCATCAGAGTAAAACAGCTATCACAGGGCTTTAATATTTATGATTCTATGTAAGATAGGAGAATTGATGCCTTTGAGCTGTGGTGCTGGAGAAGAGTATTGAGGGTGCCATGGACTGCTGGGAAAACAAATTTATCCTGGAGAGGGTAAAACCACGCTGCTCCTTGGAGGCAAGGATTCTGAGGCTCCGTCTAACATACTTTGAACATGCTGTAAGAAGGGACCGGTCCTTGGGGAGGGACATCATGCTTGGTAGGGTGGAGGGACAGTGCAGGAGGGGAAGACCCTCTATGAGGTGGATTGATTCAGTGACTGGGGTAATTGGGATGGGTGTATCAGAGACAGTGTGATTGGCACAGGACAGAGCAGAGTTTAGGGCTGTTGTACACAGGGTCGCTATGAGTCGCAAGCAACTCGATGGCACTTAACAACAACAACAACATGTGAGTTACTACATTTCCTTATAGATTATGGGGTTACTATTTAGATTTTGTACTTTGATGAACTTGTTTGAGGAATCTAGATTTTGAAAGAAATTTACTGATTTTAAGTTTTCTAATTTACTGGCATAATTAACATTATCTCATTTGCTTAATCTCTGTGATTATATCTCTCCCTTTATTCTGAACTACACTTCTTTATGCCTTCCCTCTTTTTTCTTAATGTTACCAGAGGATTTCTTTAACAATATTTTTAAAAAAGCAACTCTGCGTTTTACTTATTCTTTTTAAGTATTATTTCATTAATTTTAAAAATTACACTTTACACCCAGCCTACCTCTCTCTCTCTCTCACTGCCATCAAGTCAGAACCAACTCAATAGCTAACCCTCCAGAGGTTTTTCACAGGCTGTAAATCTCCAAGGACTGCTCATCCTACTCCTGTGAAGCAACTGGTGGATTTGAATGACTTGCCCTTGGGTAAGGAGCACACTCCTTACCCATTAAGCCACCAGAGTGTCCTGGTCCAGGCTTTATATTTAGCTAAGCCAGTTCGTTTCCACTTCCTTAAACTACTTTGGGTCCCATTTGACCAAGGTTATCAGATGAACCTTTTAAGAAAATTAGTAGCAAATCAAACACCAAAATCTAAAGGGTTTAAGTTAAACAAAATTAAATGCTTCAAATAGTTAATATTATTATGCAAAATCATAGTTTACATTCTAAAGCAGAAGACATATGCAGCAATACTAAATGGCATTAATATCTAAAGATAAACAAGATAATTTCAAAATTTCATCTGTTTAAAAACCAGAACACAAACTTACAACTCTTAAGCAAATATTCCTTTTTAATCACAAGTGAACTGTCATTATCAGCTTAACGTGGACAAAATCACCACATTATGCATAAACACCTCAAAAAGAAGTTGTCCAAGTATGAAATCAGAGTTGAATTTTCAGAATTATTTTTTATATTTCCTTGTATCCATCTCATTTTTACTAAAATTATCTACTATTTCCTTCCTTATATTTATACCAATGGCTTAAAATCTGTTTTCTGTCCCAGTATTTCACCTCTTTTAGAAATCAACTTTTTTTTTTCTTTTCTTTTCGCTGCCTCTTTTTAAACAGTCCCTCCGTAAGGACTATCCACTTAGCTTTGTAGCCAAAGACGAAATCTGTAGGTGAAAGGAGTTAGCCTTCGTTACAGACTGGTTAATTTCAGGGTCAAAATTATGGAACGCTAGAAATCAACTTTTAGGAAAACAAACAAAAAATTAAAACTATAATAAATAGCACTGTAAGTAATTGCCTTAAATTAACAGTGTTCATTATGTTACTGGAACTGTGTTAATTGCTTCACATATTTGATTTAATTCAATCCTCACACTGCAATGAGTTTCTGTTACTCTCCTGCTTTCACAGGAGTCCTTAAATCAAAATCCAAAACTACTCCTATTCAACTCTGGATATGGGCTGGATCCAACTTGATGGTACTTAACTACAACTCCTATTGAGTTGATTCCAACTCTGTTTCTGAACTCGGTTTCTGAAGCTGAAAATATTTACAAGTGGAAAACAGTTCATTTTTTCCCCTAAGAGGGTGTACTGGATTTGAGCTGCTAATTGGTTACGTATAACTAACTACATGCTATGTCACCAGGGTTCTGGGTTACATGCTTAACTACCAGCTGAAAGATTGGCTGTTCAAACTCAATCAGAAGCATATGGACAAATAAGTTTCATGATGTTTCTGAAAGGTCACAGCCTTGAAAACTATGAAAACACAGCAGTTCTATGCTGTGTACATGCGATTAGTCAGAAATGACTGGCTGGCAAACAATACCCCCTTCTTAAAGATAAGGAATAGTCTCAGAGCAGTACCTTGATTAATGAGATCACAGAATAAGGACATGTGCTCTCAGTGCTTGTCTTGTTGAGTTTAACCTAGATAGTTACACAGTGAATTACCAACCACCTCCTCTGTCTCCTCCAAATAAAGCCTTTCTTGGGTTACTATGACAAAGTACTCTTCCCTCTCGCTTCCATTAAGATCTCCAAAGGGGAAGAGATACTCTTGCTTCTGGCATATTTTCCTTTTCTCTCCTGCCTCCTTTATTAAGTCAATGTCCCAAATTTCTACTCTACCTTTGAAATAAGTCAAGCTCATTAGGATATATACCCATCTGCATTGTTGCTATACTTGAAATGCTTCTTGCCCTTTCCGGATACCTCAACCAATTATCTCTAAACTCTTCCCACCTGACACATCATCTATCTTCTTAAAGTCTTAGATAATTTATCCATATCCAGAATAATCTCTCTGTTCTGAAGTCTTGCCTCAGCATAGAGATTACTCACAGATATGGATAAAGGATACGACCCTGACAAATACCTTTTATAATTTAAAACCATGCAGTATTCCCTTGCCCTGTTTCTACAAAAGCTTCTTGTTCTAGGTACAGATTTCACATTAGCACAATTAAGTGATCTAGGATTCTCCTTCTTCTCAATGTTAGCCATAATTTGTTATGATACACACAGTCAAATACTTAAGAATAGTATGATTATAACTCAATTACCTGAGTTCTTTAAAAAGTTCAACATTCTGGTGTGTCATCAAGTTGTTTAGAAGCCATTCAAGACACCTAAAATTAAAACATGTTATTATTACGTATCTTTGTAATCCAATATAGTACTTACAAGCAAAACAAAAACAGAATTATTAATCTTGTGAGGACATGCTTAAAATGCTTAGTTGAACTGGAAATTTAGCACAGTTTGTGTCAGCAGTTATTAAGAGACATTAAGGAACAGTTATTAAGTTATATTTCCTTCATATTAATAAAAGAACTTCCAATAAGACCAAGATCTTATTTCACAGTTGTGTTAAACGGTTTATGAAGGAGCCTGCATATCTGCTATCTTTAAAATCTGAAAGTGAGTAGTATAATTTTCAAGAGTTAAGCAGCCAAGGTTGGCAATAGTTGTACTGATATCAAGTATACCATGCCTACTCTATAAAATATTTTAGTAGAAAATGTGCTGTAAAGAGTGACCATAGTTTTTTATAAGCATGTCTAACTTACTCATGGTCAACTCATGAAAGTAATACTTTTGAGGAAGTTACTAATTAGTGCAAAGTAAAAAGAGGGGTTTTTATATTCTATCTGTTTTTCAAAATACACATTCTAGTAAGGTATTAAAGAGTCAAAGTCCCAAAAGTGGGATGGGGAAAATAAAAAAGGTAACTCACTTTTTCTTTACAGAATCTAATCCATAGGTCCCTGCTGATGTGTAATAGCCACATACAGTTTTCACATTAATTGTTTCCTTCATTGTCTCACCACATTGCTGTATTAAACCATCCTGCAAACATAAATAAGCACTGGAAAGGCCCATTTCACATGGGAAAAATTAGCTGAGTATGTGCTTTTACATATTTAAAATGTGGGGGGAGGAAAAAGGAGAAAAAGGAAAAGTAAGAAAGAAAACACATTCAGCGATAGTAAGCCTAAATTTTTGTGGTTTTTTGTTTTTGTTTTTTTTTAATAAGTCCATTAAAAAGACTGGGGGTAAAAATCCAACAAGTATTCAACTAAATACTTGGAATTGGAAGAGGTTGTAGGGGAGGGAATGAAATGCAGCAGCAAAGGACACTGCCACTCAGGCTTTTCTATTCTTTCCTTTTGCAAACCTCTTTAATAGCACGCTGTCTTGCTTGTTCTTTTCTAAATTAAGAACTCTTTACCATAATCAGTTAACTATATGATGAATGAGAAAGCAAACTGTATAAATTATCATGAAGTGCTTACCTAAAATGCCTATCAATAACCAAGAAATATGCCTAGGACAAATATATTAATGTTTTAAACAACTTACATTAAAATTTTCATTTAAAGTGTTCTCTATTAAAGGTTTCAAATAAAATAAAGAAGATTGGAAAGAAGATTGTCACTTTTCACTCAATTCCTGAAATACATTCATCATACAAATATATTATTAAGTTAAATTGTTAGTAAGTCAGGTAAATAATGTATAAAGTGGATTTAAAACTAAAAAAAGGCCAGAGGTAGGGAAAAAGAAAGCATATTTCTTAGAAATAAGTACTGATTAAATATTTTAAAAATTACATGATCTCAATTAAGTACATTTTAAAAAACCCTCGTTGCCACTCAGTTGGAACTGACTCACAGCTGACCCTTCAGACGGTTTTGGGGGCTGTAAATGACATGGGAGGAGCTTGCCCATCCTACTCCCACAGAGCTGCTGGTGGATTCAAACTGCCAGAGAAGCATTCACCTTTGTGTTAGCAGCATAACTCTCAGAGTACAATGTTACCAGAACAGCAAGCTCTTACCAACAGTTCAAATAAATGAGTCTAAAAGGACTCTAGAAAACCCCCCCTACTTTTTAAAAGCAATTGAAACACACTTCATTAGCATCTTAAATATAATGCAAGGTCATACTAAACACCTCATTCCCTCAACACCCATCATCAATGTTCATGAATTATCTCTGCTTAATATCTCTGGTATCTTTTTTTTCTTTTCTTTCTCTCCAAGCTTAGTGTTAGTCCCTAATTTAGATCCTACTTCAACTATTTGGGAGGAAGTTTTTGTCTCCAGTGTTAGTTATCTTTCCTCACTCCATCCTTTACTTTGTTCCTAGAGTATTCTTTCTAAAACATAACTCTTGCCTATCTCCTGATTAAAATTTTGCCAATGGGATTTTTAAGTCAAGTCTAAACTTTTTAGCAAGATGCAGAAGGCTCTTCCTGATCTGGCCTCTCCCTCCCCATTTCCAACTCTTCTTATACTCTGAGCTTGAGCTATGTTTTGTTTAAGTTTTCTAATAATCTAGTATATCAACTCTGTAGGTCTATTGTTTCCACTCGGAAATGTTCTTTCTTCACTACTGCTCCTTCTTCGCAAGATACATACATTTTCAACTCCCAAGACTCAAACTCAAACATTATCTCTTTAATAAATACCATAAAGTTGAAAAAAGACAATTCCTTCTTTGTATATACATTGTATTCTTTAGGATGTTTATTGTTGTATCTATATTATTAGGCAGCACCTACTTTACCTTTTGGGATACATATTGTAACCATACATACTATACTGTAAGGTCTTTGAAGCTGGAAACTTAATATTACTTTTTATTCCATAACTATTTGTCACATTGTTGAATAATATCCATTGAGGAATCTTTTACCAGGTCCCAAATACATACATGTAGATTACATATAATTGTTTCATAATTTTAAAAGTTCATATGGTAAGGACTTAATGTTTTATATAAACCAATGAACTAAATGAATTCATAATAATAACTTATCTGCTTGCTCAAGCTAAATTATTAACTAAAAGAAACATGTATAAATTTATTTGGGCATAGTTTCTTCTACATCATAAAAATAGTAAGAAATTTACATGGACATAGCTTGCACTTCTGCTAAACAGACATAAAGATCCCTCCAGTTATTACAAACTGCTTTTAATCACTTTCAAGAATTTTTAACAAATATATTTATAAATTAAATTATTTTAAAAATTATAGAAAGCCTTTTTTCTTTTCTGAGTAGGTGTTTTGAAACAACGAACCACTGTGACTCTTTCCTTGAGTAATGCACATATACATACCAACTGTAGCATACAAGCTGCCGCCAAGATGGCAATAACTTGACTGGGCTTTATTAAGACATCATCTCGATACAGAGAACCAAATGCAACCTGCAGTGCTGTAAACAAAAGTACTGATGTAGATAAAATAACTGTATTGTGAAACAAAATTATATTCAAATAGAAAGACCACATTTGTCTAAATTTGGTATTCACATAAAAGTATCACTAATTAAAATGCTAGCAATGGTTACTGATTGATAGTACTAGAAAATAATGCTACATATTTCTGCTTAGTCTACCAAATCAGTTAGATTCTTTTAGCATATAATATTATTAGTGATCAGAACTGAGATAAACCTGGAAAAAGTTTTATTATGATACCCTTGTGTAGATCAACTATTAAAAACACAAAAATTCAATGATAATCTTAGCCCTGCTGCTTCACTACTGGGGTGTGGCACAGCTTCTGATCTTTTACAGGGCATATGATGCCCACAGGTGACTCACTGAATACACAGCTCAGGTGTTCTGTGCCACAAGCTGATTCTGACTCATAGCAACCAAAATGAATGGTGAACTGCCTTACAGGTCTCCCTAGGCGGGCATATTTACAGGATCAGATATCTAGATCTTTTTTCTTAAGGAATGGCAGGTAGGTTAGAAATGCTGTCTTTCAATTAGACCTGAAACTCTATGGTAGCCACTAGTTTCATTTTTCTGTCCCTGACACACCCACTAAGTCCATTCTACCTCTGTTTCTTTGGCTCACTCCTTGGAATGCCTTCAGACATTTATGCTCAGCCTTTACAGCCTTGTAAGCATGTCCATCTGTCTTTGTACAGCTACTTTCATAGGTGTACCACATGGTCTGCTTTCTAAATATTCTTAAATTTTCTTTTGCCTATTCAGTAGACAGGAACCACCACCAAAAAGATAAACTACTACTGATGAGTCTGTCTCAACTCGGTGACCCTCCACCTTGTTTCCAAGGCTGTAAATAACCATGGGAGATTACCCATCTTTCACCTAAAGAGTCATTGATAGAGTCAAATCACTGTTGGATTCAAAGCTCAACTCATGGTGGACTATATGCCACCAGAGTTGGAGTTCTTAAATAGGAGGTAGGAGAACTACCCTGAACTACTCCAAGACCTCAAATAATTTTCTTAAATCTTCCAGACCTTAGCTTGTTTACCTGAGCACCCTGATAGCTGGAAAATAATGTGTTTACATGATTTATACTTAACTTCTCCCAGAAAAGATACAAGAAATAGCCAGTGAATCTTATTTTCAAACTTCTTTATGTAATTAAAAAAAAATTACTCTACATCCTTCATATCTAGTATATTTACAAATAAGCTAATTAAGGCCTATTAGAGATAAGTGGAACAGAACTATGGAGTATATCAATACAAAGTTATATCCTTGAGATTTTTAAATGGAGCTTTTCTTAGCCTACAAGGTTAGAAGAAACTATTTTTCATTTTCTAGCAAAAATATCAAAAATTAATATTTTTATGATATTTACATAATTATAATTATGGTAGTGGTTACCTTCTATATCAATATTCTGGTCAGGAATCTCCAATTCAATAATATTCATGTTGGATTCTTTCCAAGAACCACTGAACATACTAGAAAAGTAGCCAGACTTTAAAAAAAACAAAAAACACAAATTTAAAAAGATCAATGATTACCCAGTATTTTGTCTTCTAAATTATCTTCTCATTTTTAATTGTGAGCAGGTATTCTAGTAAAACTTATCCATTAAATTATTTCAAGAGAAAAACTGGCAAGTATGCCCATAGTAAAAAAAGAAATTAAGAATATTATCAATTATATAATAGGAAATCTAATGTTTTTTGTTTTGGCCTAATTGCCATTAAGTAAATTCCCTTTTACAGTGACCTTATTAAGACAGAATAGAGCTGTCTCATAAGTTTTCCAAGGTTAAGATCTTCACGGAGCAGACTATTACTTTTCTGTTCTTTGGAGTCACTGATAGTTTTGAAAGTCTGATTTTTTTAGTCAGTAAATGAACACTTATCCACTGTTGTTGTTGTTGTTAAGTGCAGTCAAGCATGACAAAGTGATCCTATGAACAACAGACCTGAACCCTGCTCTATCTTGCAACAGCCTCATCATCTCTGATACACTTGGGCCCACTGCTACTGTCACAGTGTCAATCCATCTCACTGGAGGTTTTCTCTCCTTTACTAACCATCTTTCCAAGCATGAATTCTACTTCCAAAGAACAACCTTGCCTAGCTAAATGTCCAAAGTACGAGAGAGGAAACTTCACTATCTTTGCCTCAAAAGAACATTCTGACTGCACTTTCTCCAAGACATATCCATTTGTTCTTTTGGCAGTCCATGGGACTCTTTTCCAACATAACTCAATGGCATGCATTCCTTTTCTGTCATCCTTATTCAATGCACAGCTCTCTGATGCATATCAGGTGATCAAAATGACATCACTGTTCCTCAGTAATGTGGAGAGGTTCCTGACTACAGACTCTCCTGATGCAATATGTCTCTTGATCTCCTGACTGCCAGTGCCAAGTGCATCAATTATGGATCCAAGTAAAATAAATTCATTCAGTTTCAATCTTTTCTCCATTAAACATCATGTTGCCTATCAGTTCAGTGGTGAGAATTTCCGTTTTCTTGATATTGGGATGTAATCCATACTGATCTTCTGCAAAAAGTTCTCCAAGTCCCCCTCATTTTAATTAAGGTGTGTTGTCTGCATAATTAAGGTTGATGAGTCTTTTTCTGATCCTAATGCTACACTTCCACATTCTTCTTCACAGCGTTTAGCCTCTCAAACGATTTGTTCAACATATTGACTTAACAGGTATGGAGAGAGGATATAACCTTGATGCACACTTTCCCTGATTTTCATGTAGTATTACCTTCCTCTTTCTGCACAAATGCTTCTGATCTAGGTACAGTTTTTGCATGAGCACAATTAAGAGTTCAGAGAATCCTATTCTTCTGAATGTTAGCCACAATCCACACAGTTTAATACCTCTGCACAGTGAATAGAGAAAACATTTTTTTTAAAGCTACATTTCTTCAATATTGAAAAGTTCAGATTTTTTTAGCAGAATAGTTGGCATTAATAATCTCTTCTTTGATGAACTGCTATAAAACAGACATCTTTCTGGTATTTTTCTGCTTTCAGTTAGGATCCATCTGACATCAGCAATGATATCCCAGGTACCATGGTTTCTTCTAAATTATAATGGATCAAGTAATTTTTTTTCCTTGTTGTGTACTGTCAAATATATCCGATCCAGCTGGCACAGGAGGAGATTGTCATGCCTTCTCCAGTGGAGCATCTGGTGGATTAGAACCTTGCACCTTTGCAACTGCAGCACAGCTTCTTGACACTAGGCCACCAGAGCTACCTTTTTTCTCCTTTAAATTTTTTTCAATATTTTTTTAAATGTTATTAAGTACTTATACTATATATATAAAGAATGGACATTCCTCTAGGTCCTATAGCCCTGGTGTATAAGTTGCTGCAGAGCAGTAATTTGTGGTTGCTGTGAGGCTGACCAATGTCACACTGATGTGTCAAATGCGTTAATGGTTGGTTACCCAAAGCGGATAGAGAGTGGGGTGGAGCTCCCGATTAAAACAAGCTTGGAAGCAGTACTGGCATCCACTTCCATAATAGCTTGCCTCCAGAAACCCTATGAACCTGGAGAGAGGATGAGAGACACACAAGTGTTGAGGACTCCTTCATAGGGTCATTATGAGTCACCTGCGACTCAATGGCATTTAACAACAACATGTATAAAGAGGCCTGGTCCCTATAATATCAGGCTTCTAACCAAAAGATGGGCAGTTCAAAGCAACCAGTGACTCCACCACAGAAAGATGAGCCACAGTTTGTCTACTCAAGATTAGATTCTTGAAAACTCTATGGAGCAGAATATTCCTAAAGGGTCACTGTAAGTTAGACTGACTAGCTCAGCATATATAAATGAAAATAACAACAAAACTAAACGAATACACTGACTGCCTTAAATTCAGAATGAACACACAGGTGAGCTTATTCGGTACTTCACAAAACTGATGAAGAAAAAATAGTAAAAGATGGGTCCTACATCTTCAAGTTTACATCCGTATGCCGATATATTAACTTGGATATTTAAGTAAAAATAAACATGTACAAAGAAATTACATTATTAAATTATGATTAAAATGTCAGAGAAAAAATTCTTCTTAAAATATGAGCTCACAGAATAAGAAATGCTCTATTCATTATTCTATCTTACAGCAATGCTTACCATGTGCTAAATCTGATTACTGAATGAATGAATAAATACTAGAGCCACTAAAGGAAACATTATATTTTGAAAATTTACAATCTTTATGATAAAGTGGCAAAGAGTAACAATTTCTATAAAGAAATCTAATGAGTTTTAAATGATTTAGTACATAAACTATTTTTGGTCTTGTGTGTAACTGGATTTTTGACAAGAGATGGAAAAGTAAATCTTGAGAACTTTCTATTCACATTCAACCTTAATTATAAAGCTATATTTAAAATTAATTCATCCCTAACAGAAAAAAATCCATATAAAAAATCAACAAGTTTAGCAATTTCATGTTAAAACATTGTTCCCCTACCTTTCTCTCCTTGTTACCAACAGAAGTTACCCAAATAAGCACTATAATGAGAAAATAAGTAATTCCAGACTGGAAGTCAATGAAAACTCAAAATCAGTTCTTGGCCAAATGATATTTTACTAAAAGTGTCTATTGCTAACAGATTTCTAAAACTTATTTTTTATCAGATTAAAGGATTAAAAAAAACACTCTCATTGCAGATTATTATCGTGAAATGAAGACAGAATATGATTTAAAGAGTTTTCTGAAGTGGCTAATTCTGGTTATTCAAATGAGAAAAAATAAAATACTTACTTGACATAAATAAATTTTGTGTAAGCTCCATTCTTCTCCCAGAGCACAAATTTTAATGTCACTATTTTTACCATTCAAAAATAATGTCTGATAAATGTATTTGGATGTACTCTTTAATTTTTTCCTGTTAAAAGAAACATAAGTTACATACATGCAAAAAATGTTTCACTGATTTTGCATATAATTAAAAACGATCCTTTTTCCAATTTCTTTTAGAGTCAGTATGGCCACTAATTATGTGAAAGGACTGGAGGAGATATATATGTGCATTTGCTCATCTCTGGAAAACACATACTTATTGCCATCAAGTTAATGTCTTCTCATGACAACCTTCTGTCAGGATTCTGAGGCCATAAATTTTTTTTTTTAGGCCATAAATCTTAACAGAAGGAGAGTCTCATTTTTTTTCCCCACAGAGTGGCTATTGAATTTGAAGAGTTCTCCTGTTGGCTGGCAGCCCAACACTTAACCAATATGGTATCAGAGATTCTTCCAAAAGAGAACAGGAGAACCTCTGGATTCTCTAGTCACAGGAGAGTTGACAGTGAATAAAAGGGGCAACAGGGGGGCTTTTCACTGTACACCTTTTCTTTTTTAGCTGAAAGAATTACCTATTCAAATGTTAAGAAATAATTCCAAGCAGTAGCTTTTACTTATTTCCTAATAAGGAAAAGAGCACTGCAGAGGTTCTCACTATAATTGAGATGGTACTATGAAACTAAAACAAGAACAGAAGTGAAATCTTCACCTACAAAGGCAATTTTAAAAATAATATACATTTCAATCTCACGTTAGTAAAAACTATTCTTAGACTAGTTAAAGTGTTATTTTTCATTGGACAGATGGTATGCAGTATTAAGGAACTGAGTGATGGAGCTCTGGGCATCTCAGACCACTTCAAACAGAGCTGCTTTACTGAATGGATATCATTAAGAATTAATCATAGAGTAAGTTTACTGTATCTTTAGATATTTGAAACGTACAGCTCAAGATTATCTACGTAGAGTGGAAAGCCCAGACTACAACTAAAAACATCCTGAATTTCTGTCTAGTCTTCTCTATAACTCTACCTCTGGATTAGTAGGCATCATCATAATAGATGGAGAAGACTGAAATTGTCAATCATTTCATCTTACTTGTATCTACAATCAACATTCTTGGTATCAGCAGTAGAGAGATCAAGAGATACATTGTACTGGGAAAACCTGTTATCAGGGACCTCTCTAAATAACTGAGGATTAATGCTATCAGTTTAAAGACTAATATGAGCCTGATTCAGGCCATGGTCTTTTCAATCATTTCCTAAGGATCTGAAAGCTGGACAGTGAATAATTGTGACAGGAGGATAATCTATGCCTATGAGCTGTGGTGTTGAGAAGAGTACTGAATATCCCATGGACTGTCAAAAGAACAAACAGATATGTCTTGGAAAAAGTGCAGCCACAATGCTCTTTGGAGTCAAAGACGACAAAGCTACATTTCACCTACTTTAGGCATATTGTTAGGACAAGTTATTCTTTGGAAAAGGACATAATGATTACTTGGAAAGGTGGAAAGGAGAGGGGAGGAAAAATAGAGGAAGACCCTTGAGACAGATTTGACACAGCAAGGATAGCACAGTATACATGTTTCATATCTGTTGTTCATAGGGTTGTTACGAGTTGTCCTTGACTTGAAGGCACCTTACAACAACTTCTCTATATTCCTAATAGATTAAAAATGTAAATCTCTTAAAAAGTGAAATTACTATTTCTATGTTGTTGTTAAGTGCTGTCGAGTTGCAGGCAACTCATAGCGATCCTATGAAGGAGAGTCCTCAACACTTGTGTGTCTCTTATCCTCTCTCCAGGGTGACAGGGTTTCCGGAGGCAAGCTATTACAGAAGTGGATGCCAGTCCTGCTTCCAAGCTTGTTTTAATTGGGGAGCTCCACCCAACACTGTCCACCATGGGTAACCAACCATTAACACATCTGACACATCAGCATCACAGACTATCTCTACATGATGTCTTAAAACATTATTTTTAATCCCTCTGGTCAAAAGATAATGAAAATTCAGCACATGCTTTAATAGTGAACAGTTTGAGTGCCAGTTTTATCTCTGCTCAATCACTCCAACTTTGGAAAAGACTTATTAATAGTGTCCACTAAATTGGACTATTTGAGAAATGAAAGAATGCAGCTTCTAGTTCATGACAGTCTAAAAAGTGCCTGCTTCCTATTTTAGCCCAAATTATATGAAAAGATAAGTACAAAAAAGAATAAACCCACAACAGGGGAAAGGGCAGATTTATCACCTGACCAAGTACAGTGGTTAAAAAAAATCTGGCTGCTAACTAAAATGATGGTGCACTGAACACACGAGCTACTCCCTGGTAGAAGAATGAAGCAGTTTGCTCTCATAAAACATTAATCTTAAAAAAATAAACAAACATTAATTCTGGATTCCAGAATTAAGGTTGCATAGAGAAGTGTACTCGGGGTGGGGGTGGGGGGAAGGGACGTGGGAATTGTATACTAATGAAGACATTTTTTTCTATTTCTTTTCTTTTTTCTCTCTTCGGAGGGGGAAGCGAGCTGGTGGGGAGGGGTGGGAAGGGAGAAAATTGCGGCAATGAATGAATGGAAATCCAAAACCTCTGTAAAATAAATAAA